AAGTGGACAAAATCGCCAAACGGCCAGTAGTGGCCAAAATCGCAAAACGACCACTAGTGGACAAAATCGCCAAACGGTCACTAGTTGACAAAATCGCGAAACGGCCACTCGTGGACAAAATCGCCAAACGGCCACTAGTGGACAAAACCGCTAAAACGATTTCGAATATCTAAGTATCAGTCCTCATTGCTGTCTTCTGTACACTCGTTGATTAAGAGAAATCCGTTGATATCCCCTTAAAAGTTTTCTTCCTTCTCAGAACCGTTAGATAAGAATTAAGCACCAAGCGGACCAAACGCCGAATTTTTAGAGTGACACTTTTGAACTGGGGTCAGTTATCAAAATCAACATATTACACTGTGGGAAACGAACAGCAATTCCAACCTTATTTAATGATACCAATCAGCATTTAGGACTAAAGAAAGTAAAGGTGACAAAGACTTCGAATGGAGTCAATAGCTCCTTTCCTCTCGACGCACTGGACAGTCTTGCTTTACTCTTTGGCACATAAGTGTGACTAGCATCTAATTCCTCCTTACGATATCACCCCTGAATCAAACATTAAGGTCAGGATAATAAAGGGAATTGTCCGGGTCGGACACATAAAGCGGTGAAGATGTCGAATAATAATAGAACAGCGTTTCGACCAACGAGTTTAATGATGGCGAAGAATACCAATATTTACAAAACAATCCAGTCACCCTTTCATCAAAGATTACGAGACTCGAGGAGCCATAAAAATCACATGATGAAGGGCGGTAAGCGAAAGAAAAGGAACAGTTTTACGTACCTAAACTTTTACAAGCGCTTCACCACGTGCGAAATAGGATGGCGAGTAAAATTACTACTGAAGAATTGTGGTTTACATGACATACAAAAAATGAGGAATGGAATGGACTGGACTAAAACATAAAACCTTGTTGAGGAATAGCCTCAACAGAAATGATCACCAACTTAAGAACCTCTTGACCGTTAAACAAATTCTCCTTGCCAGTTGCTTGGGAAATGTATTGAGAACAGTATGGAGATTTTGCATACTGATGTTAGGGTGTAAATAGTTAAGTGACCCCGTTAACACTTGTAACATTGTGGCAAACATAATGATAAACACTTTATTCCATTCGAGGAAGACCCTCACCTCGAAATCATCTCTCTACTTGTGTTACTCTCTGTATCAGACAGGTTAACAAGCGCTGAAATGATACCTTCCTGTTCAAAATAAAAGTGCAATTACTGATAAATCTCACTATTGTGGAATATTTCCTTCATATTATTATACTTGCATGCAACTACTCCGGCGCTAAACTATATATTAACATCTATTTTTGAATAAGAGCCTCTCTTTCCCCCCCAGAAAAACTACTGACAGCAGTGTCTATACATATGAGGAAATCTATCATCTCACCTCGACAAGTTTCTTGATTCTCATTTTGACATATTCCTCGCCATCCTACAAAAAAAGTCAATCAATTGCCCTCTTGATGAATTGAAATAAGGTTGGCGTAATTCATGAACTATCGGGTAGCGTAAACAATAACACTGTCAAGCTTTTTCAAAAAGGTTACAAGCTAAATAGACCTGGTTGCTATTCATTTTTCATATGCGTGGACCAAGGGAAAAAAATTTGAGTCCCCAAGACCTCAGATCAGACCCGTCACTCTCAGTTCGGAATTCGCGGTTCAAATTAGCGAGGAAAGCCATATAAGCCGTACAATTTCAGCGCTTGTTAACTACGCATGCCTATTCAGCTAGTAGGTTCATAAACACTATTGGAGGCAACAGCAAAGTCTTCTTACAAAATTTCAAGCTCACAGACTTCCGCACGAAGCATGAACCAATTTCCCCGAAATAGAACTTTGCTGTTGTAAAAACGTCGGCCAGAGCTAAAAAAATATTCTTCGTTGCCTTAAAGAGTTCTAATTTTCTAACAAGATTTCTGCTTACTTTTTCGGAAAATTTCGGCAATTTGACTTTGGCAAATTCCCCAAGCTGTTTCATTTCATCCGGAATTTCTGGTTTGTCAAACGTGTTCGTGAGGTTAACGAGCGTTTGACAAACTCCATATAACAAAGAGCCATCTTTAGCCTGAAAAAAATATGAACGCAATACATTACTGATTAACTCATCACTGTCTCTCAAGTACACAAAAGCATCCACATTAACAAAATATTGAAGGCCAAAAACAATTTCCAATTCTGCCCTTAAAGACCTCTCCCGTTTCGCGACTTTGGCCACTAGGGGCCAAAAGGGGCCACAAGGGGCCACTAGGGGCCACAAGGGGCCACAAGGGGCCACTAGGGGCCACAAGGGGCCACTACGGGCTACTAATCGCCAAAAGGCAACTAGTGAAAAAAAATTACCAAACGCCCACTAGTGGACAAAACCACCAAACGGCTACTAGTGAACAAAATAACCAAAACGGCCACTAGTGGACAAAATCGCCAAATGGCCACTTGTGGACAAAATCACCAAACGGTAACTAGTGGCCACTAATCGCCAAACGGCAACTAGTGGACAAAATCACAAAACGCCCAATAGAGGACAAACTCACCAAACGGCCASTTGGCGGACAAAATCGCCAAACGGCCACTAGTGGACAAAATCACAAAACGCCCACTAGAGGACAAACTCACCAAACGGCCACTAGTGGACAAAATCGCCAAACGGGCACTAGTAGACAAAATCTCCAAACGGGCACTAGTGGACAAAATCGCCAAACGGCCACAAGTTGTGTGAAAGAAAAGTCTCATTTAAATGGAATTAAATTTAGCGTTTAACCAGGCGATTTTTCAATGTTGAGAGTCGTTAAGTATTTCACCGGTATATTTTACCTTTGCTAGTTCCATGAGTGACCTGAGGGCCTGCTGATCTTCAAGGAAGGTCTCCTGCAGTTGAAAAAAAAATGGATAAAGTTAAACGGTTTTTAAGGATTCAAAAAATGTTTGTACACGAATTAAAAAATATTGCCTTTTCTTCTCAAAAACAGGGGCTTGACAGGTAGTCGGATTTTGGACACTAGAGTCCAATTCTGGACTTGAGTGTTCGATTTTGGACAGAGACTCAATATTACCTTACCTTAACATCAGCGTCCATGGTAAGGAAAGACAATCCCTCGGCAGCCCATTTCCGCAGCTCCAAATCTTTCTTAGATTTTGTCAGTAAACTGAAAAGGAAATAAAACAAATGATTTTATCTCACTCCGGCATATCATCCAGAAGACGTTGCCATGCTCCTTGTTGCTTTATTGTACACCCATCGAGATACGTTTGGGCAGGGTGGCCTGCTCACATCATGTTTAGATCCAATCTGACTTTTCAAGGTCTTCAACTGTCCTTTTCCTTTCTTTCTTCCATTTTGTATTATATTTTTGGAAACTGTTTCCTGACGTTTGGGAGACAGGGTGGCCTGAGGTTACGGCGCTGGACTCTCACACCGACTGGGGGTGGGGGAGAAATTTGTGATGGACTGGCATCCCATTCCGTGAGAAGTGATACCTGTTGTGTCCTCACACTGAGGAAACCGGGTGGATGGGGCACTTAGCCCGAGTTTAGACATTGCCTCCTGTACCTTCTTGACCTGTGACAAGCCGTAAGTAACTAATATATATGATACTCATTCACCACTCACCTACGCACTGATTTGTACAACTTTAACGTGGCTCCCTCTGCGAAAGTTTGATCATTAACAGTCCCTCCTCCCGTCGTACCCAGTTTACAGAGACCCTGAAGAGTAGAGAAGAGTAGAGTAGAGTAGAGAAGAGTAGAGTAGAGTAGAG